GTTTTCTGCCCTAAATTTAACATGCACACAATGACATTTCTACAGTACTGTATCTGCATCCCAAGAAATGCAAAGGCAAGAAGAAATGTTTCATACCACAACAGGCAAATTACACATCATTAATACTTGCTTCAGTTAGTCCACATCAATTATACAAACCAAACAAACCGGGCTCTGACGTCAAACAGACTTGAGTCTGCAGCAAAAGTTCTCGTGTGAAAGCACCCTTAGATACCCTGCAGGGACTTATTGTGTTGCAGTGTGATTAGTATTCACCGTGAAAACAAAATGTCGAAGCAAAATATGCCCTGCAAGACAAACAGAACAAATGCAATCCTCCCCCCCCCTTCCTTAAATTAAAGAGATACCGATTCATGGCTCGTTTTGGAATAATAACAGATGTAGAAGAACTCTCATCTTTGATATTTTGTTAAATTTCTGACTCGTCTAGGTCAGTCAAGGCCGCATCATTTGAATTCGATTACATAAAGGCCGCTAAGCAGCCTCTGTTGTTTCAGGGCATCTGTGTTGGATCAAGGGGAAACGGTGATGCATGTTGCACTAAAGTGTAGGTCACGTGACCTGCTCAAGGGTACAAAACCAGGGCTGAGAACCAGAAATCTTCCAGCTACTGGTGTGCTGCCCACAATCCCACTGCGGCATTGTCGAATAAGTCCCGGTAATGTTGAGGAAAGAATGAGCTAATGGAACTAAACACGTTTTGAGAACTGGAACCCCTCTGCCTTTGATGTAGAGACTAATGAGTCTTTTGCATTCTTGAGTCATTTGCATAAAAGTACCATGGTTTGCACCGAGGTACAGGGATGGTATCAGACATGGTACTTCAGCATAATTGATAAATTCCATAAAATAACCAATTCTGGTTACTCAAATAAGCTTTCAAGTGAACAGTTCTTAAAGGGACCATCTAAAGAACCTTTTTCAATGGAAAGATTCCATGAACGATAAAAGTTCTTTATGAAACCATCAATGGCTATAAAGAACCTTTATTTTTAAGAAAGCACACTCAAGATTCTTTTTTGGAATCTATGGTTCCATTAAGAACTTTTAACATCCGTGGAATCTTTCCATTCCAAAAAATTGGATTATTCAAATGTTCTTTACATTAAGAAAAAATGGTTCTTTGGGGTACCAAAATTTTTTTTTATATGGCATCGCTGTAAAAAAAAAACAAAAAAAACATTTGGGACCTTTATTTAAGAGCATACCAGAATTTTTACAATTAAAAAAAAAAATTACAAAAATGTAGTATTAGTACCATTTCCAAAAAAACTAAGCCATAGTACTTTTTTGGTAAGTAAAGTATTTTAGTCGTTTTGGTCTAAAAAAAAAAACATTATTGACAGGTAATTGGAAATATTTGAAGTTTATTGAAGAAAACTGAATTACTTTCAAACAGTTTCCACTCAAATTTTGCTAGTAAATAAAAAATAAACAGCAAGTAACACATTGAATTAAATGTAAATTTCAGATGTATACTGAAATAGCATTTTCTTGTTAGACATACTCCAATAACCTTCATTTAGAACTTCAAGAAAAAACATTTTTACTGTGTTGGCAATTTTTTTAATTATATAAAAACTGCAGATCTGCAGAGTCTAATTCTGTCACAAAGACAGATGTGACGTGTCAGGATCTATTTCAGTGATATCTGTCAGGTAATAGGATGTGTGATATTCAAAAACAAAGTGTTTCAGTATTTTTAAAGAAAAGCCAATTCTTTATGGGTGGTCTAAAAATATGTTATGAGGTTGGAGGTATAAAAATATATATTCATGCATTTGGCAGATGCTTTTTTTGGCAGACCCTTTGGATTTTATTCAAAAGACAAGTACTTTTTTTATGAGTGACCAGCTGACAAAGTTACTCAAGTAAAAATATATTTTGGTTAGTCAGATTCTACACTTCAAACTTGGATGGATGGATGGAAAAATAAAAAAAATAATCAATGCTGAAAAGGCCAGCAACTGTGAGCGAGTGTAAATTATGTGGTCAGTACATATCAAATTATCAGATGCCTGAATCAATTTCCCTTCTGCAGAACTGCTGAATTGTGAGAAAAAACCATAATGAGTTTCACACAGATTTTCCCCTGAGCAAACATCATCAGCATTGTTGAGTCTGAGGGAGAACAAACTCTCAGGGTGTCTAGTTTACCCCTCCCACCATCCAAAACACACGCTGACATGAAAATTAAAACATGCTCTTCACTCACACAATGCCGCATGTCCTTCAACATGCCCATTTTGCAAGCTTTGCAATGTTAAAGGAGCAGGTCGACTAAAAAGGACAATTCTGTCATTATATACTCACCTGTAGTCTGTCATTTTTTCTAAGGAACACAGAAGCAGAAATCTGCATGCACAAAATAGCTGAACGAAGATTCTTCTAAATAAATAACAACAGAATTTTCATGTTTGCATGGGCTGTTCCTTTAATCTCACATTGATCTGTGCATAAACAACACTGTCGTCAAATAATGAAAATCTATTCTGATTAACAGACTATTTATGCAAGCTCTAATAGGTGGCTTGCATGCACTGAAGTGTATTTGTGTGCACGCAAGGGGCACAAGAGGCATTTTACACATGGAGTTCTCCATCTGAAATTTGGCGCCTGCATGGAGAAAAAACTCCCCCCACAGGGCAAGAATGATTAAATTTGTGTTCATCATGGTAAAGGGCTCAAAAAGTGGAATCAAACATCATTTCAAAGCAAGTATTCATCCATTCACAGCACACCGAGAGCTATTATTCCCTCCCTGATGCCCCATGCGTTCTCTGACAGATCAATAATACAACGATAGTACTCCAAACCCATACGAATCACCCAGAGTGTCTGGTTTTCTTCATCTTTCTGATATTAACCATTTCACCAAGTATGACTGTCTCAGAACGATCAAAAAGATGAGAGCTCAGAGTAGATGTCAAACGCAAATCACACAGCACGTTAGTGTCAAAACCACAGCAACGCAACATTTGTTTCTGCTATGAAATTATCATCAGGTTCACATACCCCCATTTACTGAAAATATATTAAGCAATTTGCATCATCGATTTCAGAGAGAATCAAAGCCAAGTAATTGCATGTAGATAATCAGCATGAACAATATTCACAAAGAATCAGGTGTAAATGAATATCGGGCCATCTGCTGGACCTCTAAAGAATAGCCACAAACAACAACAATACATGTCTTTTCAACATTAAAATTACGAAATTATAGGCCTAAAAAATATCATTATCAATTACAATGAATCTTCAAATAATATATGCTAATATAATAACTATTAATTTGGCAATATTAATATAACAACAAGAGCATAAATAAATAATCATAATGAGTCATTATTAATATTTAATTATTATTATTGTTTACATATTGCACATCAGCCACTTAAAAGCGAAAATAACCATTATCGGTTTCTGAATATCGGTTGTGCCGATAATGCCACCTGCTGGGTCTAAAGAATATCCATCAATTACACCACTGTCTGTTCAACATTAATTAATTAATTAATTAGAAAACTATAAATATATACTTTAAATGTCAATTAATATTAATATAATATATGCTAACATAATAACCACGACTATGCCAATAAAATATACAGCAACAACAACAGCAAGAACTAAAACAGCAATAATAAAATATTCATGATGAGTCACTAGTCTCATGGCTATTTAGTTATTATTATATGCATATTGGATATCAGACATTTAAAAACAAAACTAACTAAATGTTCCTGTGGCTCAGTGGTAGCGCATTGTGCTAGCAGTGCAAAGGTCGTGGGTTCGATTCCCAAGGAACACACATACTGGTAAAAAATGTATAGCCTGAATGTGCTGTAAGTTGCTTTGGATAAAAGTGTCTGCTGAATGCATAAATTATTATTAAATTATAACATTATCGGTTTCTGAATACTAATTTCTATATACTAATACTAATTCTGAATTTTCCGGGTCTACCGATAAATGCCACCTGCTGGTTCTCTAAAGAAACGCCACCAACAACACCACTACACTGTCTTTTCAACATTAAAATTATAAAACTATAAATATACATATAAAATGACAGTTAATATTAATATATGCTAATAAAAAGATCATGACTATGACAATATAACAACAACAGCAAGGACCACAACGGCAATAACTCAGCAATGAGTCACCAGTCTAATAGTTTTTTAATAATAATATATGCTTACTGCACATCAGAAATTTAAAAATGAAAAATAACCATTATCCGATTATGCATATTGGGGTCTACTGATAAATGCCACCTGCTGGATCTCTAAAATATAGCATGCACCCAACAATGGCATTACACCCCTATGCAAAACAACTGTTACCATATAATATTTTAATGAAATACATCAAAATATAATAATATAGAAAGAAAAACATTTTATAATTATATATGCACGTGTAGGATACATTCTATTAAATTTGTAAAAAATTCAAGTAATTTAATGAATATGAATATAGGCCTATTAATACAATTAATAGTGTAAAATAAGTAGTATTTGATAATATATATAATTATGTTAAACAGCTGTTTTGCATATTGGTTATATTCAGACACCTAAACAAAAAAACAAAAAAAACACACATCGATGTCGGTCATAAAAAAAAAAACAAACAAACAAAAAAAAACAATATTGGTCTCAAAATCTGTAAAGGCATCCACTGACTTTTTACACACAGAGATAGAGGCGAGGAAAGCCGTCTTTTTCCCCCCAAGTGTTGATATGCAGAACTCGTGTGTTGTGGAGCGCACTTGTCTCTATGATTTGATAACACACGCATACACACACACACACATACACACACACACACACACACACACACACACATGATTCATTGGCAGGTAGACCCCCGGAGTCGCATTAGTATTCCACTCCAGGTCCCAGCAAAGAATGGGGCAAGGAACGAGTAAGGAACATGTTCTCTACAGAAGAATGCTAAGAATTGCAACTTACCTTTCCACAGCAACGCCAAGAGCAAAGCGAGCGCGTGTCGCAACATTGCGCAGCTCATGTTTTGAGTTGATTGTTTGTTATTTCTCTGTGTCAGTTCTTGCAGCAACAGTCCGGTTTTATCTTCTATGAACGGGAACACGCATAAACCGCAGTTGTCCGTCCGTGTGTCCTATTTCACGAAACGTCCGCAGTCTACAAATCTTCCAAGTGGGTCAGGAGTGCCACAAGACGGGTCGATTTTCCCAAGTGACCCTTTGCAAGGAGACCAAACACAATCTGTTGGCGTTTGGAGTGCCAGAGAATGTATAAATAAATCCTTGCGCGAAAAAAAATATTGTGTATACCTCCTCAGATTTTTTCCTTCAATACAAGGGCATCCACAGAAAAAGAGAAAAGCGACAGTTGAGATGGTTTAGTGGGATGTTGTGTGCTCAGTGAATCAGAATCACTGTGCATCGCTTCAGAGCGGAGCACGAAAGAAGCGTCTGATTGACAGCTCAAGGAGAATCTCTTCCACCAATCAGCGAGCGTCGAGGAAGTGGGCCGGGCACCAAGAAGGAGATTCGATCAATCGTGAGCACGGAGGGGCGGAGACTCCAACAGCGCTATGATAATATAAGGTGATTTATAGCACGCTCAGTGCACTGCAGTACTGGGGGAAAGGTGTTTGCGTGGACATGCACATTAGTGCTTTATGTTCTCTATTGGGAGAGGTGATTTGCGTGGGGAAACTTAGCAGAGAAGTGTTTAGAAATAACCCACTTGATTTATTGGGTCATTTCTAAAGTGCAGTGCATTTTTGTGCACCCATCTGACTTAATAGCCTAAATATTAAACTCACAATTTTTGAAGAAGAAAACCATATTAGTTACAAATGCATTTCACTGCTTTGGTTTGAGTGGATGTTATTATTCTTGCCATGTCCCCAACTTCTAAAATAAAAAGTAGGCTAATTTATTCAGAATTATTCCAAGTAATGCTTCAAATAAAACACTGTTCCGATTGAAAATAAAATGAAATAGGTCAGTCATCAATATCGCTCTCCATTCCATTAATTAACAAAAGCCTGTTGCTTCATGACATCAATCATCCTTCAGGAAGCCGCATCATATTGGAAGGAAAACACCACTATAATTGGATTTGAATAATTCTGTGATGTTTTGTTGTATCAGTTCATTTGTTGGTCCAGTCAGTCCGTCAAAGAACAATGACAAAACATTTATGTATGCATATTCAAAAAGCATAACAGACCCACATTTAACTAACAAAAACAGTTACCTCATGACATCATCCTCCAGGAAGTGACATCATTTCGGAGGGAAAACACCACCAGCAACACTAAAGATTGAAATAATTCTTTGATGTTTTGTTGCAGTAGTTTGTTTGTTAGTCCAGTCAGTCTGTCACTATGCAATCACTATTTTGTATGCATATTCATTTTTTAAAATGACAGAGTATATAATCACCCACCTGACTGCAGGTGCTGAACTTGATATTGTTATGATTTTATAATATTATATGGAAACAATGGTGACTTTGGTTGTGGTTTTGACACCGACTCGAGCCGTTGATGGTAATTTTGCGGGAATATTCACACCGTTCTCTCACAAGGTCAATGGCTCTGGAGAATTGTGCTCTAACAGGGTGTTGACTGTCATCTGTAGATTGATGGCTGCCCTGACTGAAGTGAAGGGATGTCGCAACAGCATTTGAATATCAATATATGAACTCTGTATTATACTGAGCCTTTAAAAAGGATAGTTCACTCAAAAAATGTTTTCAAAAAGTCACTATTTACGGTCATTTCAAGACAATCAACCACTAATAGGAGTATTGCGGGCGACTTGGCCAACTCATTCAAGAGTTATGTCTGTGTGGGCTCTAATTCGACCTCTAATGCAAATGTAACTGGTTTATGAGTGTAAAGTGCTTTGAGGCTTACTAAGCATAACCATGTTTTGTAAGTAGTAAGTACACTCATTTGGCATCTGTCTGTGAAATCAATTGTCAAACGGTTTAGAGATCTTATGAACCTTACCTTGGCTTTGAATAATTTTTGTCCTGATATGTTGCATTTATCACATCAATGGCTCAGAGTTTAATTTAATATGCATGCTAGTGTTAAATGGCAGCCAAGCTAACAGAGAACATTCTGGGAAGGTTCTCTCAACGTTATAAACAAACATTCTTCCAGTAACATTATTAGAATGTTCGTTCAAAGTTATCCAGTCCTTAATAAACGTTAGTTTCGTTTTTTCTGAAACGTTTTAGTTGGATATTCGTCGAACATTTTTTAAATGTAACTACTTGTTTTAGAACATTCAGAGAACATTCAAAAGTAGCATTCCCCTAATGCAAAATCATAAAATGGAATGTTTCCTGATAAATAAATAAACAAATAAGCATCATCAAGGGAAAAAAATATATATATTTTTTAAACATTTAGAAAACTGAGCATTTCGAACTTTCAGAGAACATTTAATAACAATGTTCATGCAGCAAATCAAGTTCTCATTAATTTCTAATTGATTTGAACCATCTTGTCTTCTGTTTTACTGTGTATTTGAACGAGTTTGCGCTTTCTGTTTGTTTTTGATGCTCAGAGAAAGATTTCACCAGAGCAGATGTGGTATAATTTCCATTTCAAGATTGCCATCTCCAAAAGCCGTTGTCCCTCTTCCATTCAGAGTTCTTTGTGACAGCCCAAGACCTTTTCAAATGCAATCACGTTTTTCGATAAGTCTCAAGATTTTTCGGCGGCCCTACTCTTATAGTCTCTGAGACCTGCTTTGGTTTATCATTGTCATTTTTCTGTTCAAATTCGCTCACGCCCACACGACTCCTCCAAGAGCAGCATCATCACAACAGCAGCACACACTTGTGATATTGCTCCGGCTCAGACTGCTCATATATCTGGAGAAAGCTAGCAATGGCAGCTGCTTGGCTGGCACATTCAGATCTGGGATAATGCAACCTGGATGCTGCTCGGTTTCTGATTTTTTTTTTTTTTTGCTGTGGCATTAAAGACTTAATAAAGACCTCCAAAAACAGGAGAATTGTATTTATTTTTTTGGTTTTGTTTTTGCAATTTGTTGCTTGCGGAAGAAAAAAAAAGTCACCCCCTTCATAATGAAGTTTGTTACTTCAGCGAAACCATGTGCCTGCAATGCTTTGCATCTACTGAAGTAGTTTTCTGGCCTATTTCGAAAACAATGACTGCTTACAAAAACAGTGCAATTTCCCAGCAATTTCATACAGTGACAAAAATGTAGTGCATAAACAATTTTCACAAAACAATTACAGTTACAAATGGCAAGTCATTCCTGAAATTACAACAATGTACAACTTTGAAAAATCTTGTTTTTTCCTAAATTGTAAATTTAAAATGAATCAAACAGACGTGAATAAATACATTGAAGCCCACACAGGCCATGCATGATTTGTATTTATTTTATTTTTTTTACTTAAAATCTTCTTTTTTTTTTTTCAAAATAACCTCACAAAACAATCTTGAGGGGTTTTTTTTATCTTTGAGGTTTTTATAATATATAACTCTAATTCATGGCATATAGATCATACTAACAATAAATAACTAATATCTTGGCACATTTTTGCAATACACAGAAGAAAATGGCATAAGATTTACAATTTTCACTCGGGAATGGGTACATTTCACAAATAATGACAAAGAAGTAACACACTGAGTTAAACCTGAAAGACTGAAACAGTATTTTCTTCTAAAACACTCCAATAATCTTTGTTTTATTTACAACTACAAAAAAAAATAATTGTTTACAGTGTATAGCGTATGTGTTTTATTGCCTGTCTCTCTGGATTTCTTGATTCATCACATTTTCTAGTTGTGCTTCTTTCATGTCTCTCATATCACTCCATGTCTCTTTCTTCTAACATAATGAAATCATTTCAAACTCAAATCAATATTTCATGTCCATATGTTTATGCATTTGGTAAGCAGCTGTGTAATATGTAGGATAATTTACAGGCGGCCAGTCATTATCATAAACTAAACTTTCAGGGTCCTGATCATGCTGTCAGGCTCTATTTTGCAATAATGACATCAAACAAAACAAATCCTTCAAAACGTTTTAAATTTAAACCATCGCTTCTGGACAAAATATGAGTCCATAATCCATAACTCTTCCTCCAGTAAAAAAGTCCATCTCCTGTTGTCTCTCACATCAAAATCCATACACGTATTTGTTTAGAGCTCTTGTAAACAGTGCTTGATCTGTGCAGATTTCTCTCTTGATTCAGACCGGATGATATGGATAGACGACTTGTATTTTAGTAATGGTTTGAAGTTAAAAAACGGATTTGTTCCTTGCAAACACGCAGATTTTCACTTCTCAGGATGTTCACTGATGGACTGGAGTGGTGTGAATTACTTGTGGATTATTGTGATGTTTTTATCAGCTGTTTGGACTCTCATTCTGACGGCACCCATTCATTGCAGAGGATCCTTTGATGAGCAAGTGATGGAATGCTACATTTCTCCAAATCTGATGAAGAAACTCAGATACATCTTGGAGGGCCTGAGGATGAGGAGATTTTCATAACATTTGCATTTGTGGGTGGACTGTTCCTTTAACACTGCACGTCTCTGAGCAGTATAATAGGTTTTGCTCAGCAAGAGTATCATTGGAGGGAACATTGCTTACTGTGTCTGGTTAGATGGCATAGCTGTAGTGGTCGTATAGTTGCCATGAGTGACTGGATGCTTGAGCGAGAGCCCTGGCTATGAGAAAGAGGTCAGCTTCATCAGCACTGGACCGCATTCGGCTCCAGCCAGTATTTTAACACTTTAATGATAATTGGCCTGCAGTGCCTTTCTCAAATCTTGTCAAAGCACTATTAAACATTTTAAATGATTACTTGTTCACCCTGGAAGTGTTATAGACAGTGGAGGTATGCTGGGGATTTTCCTTGACAAAGGGCAGTTCATGGTGAAAACAGTGTTTTAGCAGTGACAAATGAGTGAAAGGTTCAGTGACAAATAATCATGTCTTGGATGATATATTTATTTATTTATTTCAAGGTTTCTTGGGTTTATTACATTTGAAAACCTGAACTTACCTTGTCATGTCATAGAAATATGAAATACTGTAGTTGGCATTAAAGAAACTTATTGACCTGCCTTACTTGCGGGTCTAAATGTGTCCTTTCTGTGATGTCACTTCCTGTTTTAGGGTGAATATAAAACAATATTTTTAAATGGCTTCATTACTTTTTATTTTTTAAGGATTAAAATTTTTTTTTTTTTTTACAGTGTTTATTATATTATATTAACAACAACAACAACAACAATAATAACAATAAATTACTAAGATATTCAGTTATTAATAATAAACAATATAATAAACAATATTGTATTTCATTATATTGTTTTATATATTATATGAAAATAATCAAATAATAAGTATTAAGCTATTTTTTCTATGA